TGCTCTCCTAAAGGGGCTGGGAAGCTTCCCATGCGCTTGTCACCTCTGGGTGCTCCTGCCTCACCAGGTCCTTACCCTGAACCTCCCCCAAGCTCACACCATCCTCCCAGGCCCGCTTCAGTCCCTCGTTGCTGACCGCAGCCTGCACATGGTTGGTGCAGCCCGAGCCCCAGCCCCCGTGGTCCTCACTCTGCCTCGTCTGCTCATCCACCCGATCTTGCATGTTGATTTTTGTCCCTTCTCAGACTTGCTCCTTCCCTGGCATTGCTTTGTCCCAGTGGTTCTCAAACACGAGCGAGCGTACATCAGAATAGCTGGAGGACTTGTCAAACAGCTGGGCCCCACCTCTCATTCGGTAGATCTGGGCACGGCCCCCAAATTTGCATTTCTAACCAGCTCCTGGGTACTGCTGGCCCAGTACCACACTTAGAGAACCACCTTTCTACCCTATGCTCCTTGGGTGCATGTTGGAATGAATAAACTGAAGAGCTTTACAGAATCCTGATTCCTGTTTCCACCCTCTCCCCCAGTCTGGTTTCTTTGGTCTACAGTGCAGGGTGCAGCCGAGGCATGGCGTCTTTTAAAGCTCGCAGGTGATTGTGGTGTGTGGCTGGTGGAGAACCATCTCTGTGTGCCTCTCTCCTGCTTACTCCTTCTGGACCCCTGTGGTGTCTCCAAGCTGCTCTCCCTGCCCCACTGAGGTCTTCCCAACCCTGGCTATGCACATGGTTCCCTGGGGAATGCGGAAAAAATGCAGCTGCTGGGACCCCACCCAGAGATTCTGACACAGAGGCCCTGGGCATCTGCATTTCTTTTTAGAGCTCCACTGGCAATTCTGATGTGCCTCCAGGGTGAGAAGGGCAGCACCAATTTGACTCACACACGACTGCCACGGTTGCCTTCTTCTTTTGGTCCCCGTCTTCCCCTGCTTCAGAATTTAGAGTGGCTCCCCATTGCTTCTGGAAACAATGCCGAAGTCCTTGGGATGGTGCCTGCATGGGACTCAGGGAGGTCCCCCAAGCCTCTCTCTATCCCAACTATCTTGCAAGTTTCCTTTTGCAAGTAATAATAAGGCATTAATTATTCATTCCCCACTCCATGCCTTTGCTTAGGCCAGTAGCTCCCAAAGGGTGGTCTCAGATCAGCACCAGCATGACCTGAACTTGGTTAGAAATGCAGAGTCATAGGCACCAACCCAGACCTACGGAATCAGAATTTCCAGGGGGAGGGAGGGGATGGGAGAGGGCCGCATTCTGCAGTTTAACAGACCCTCCAGGTAATTCTGAGATGTGCTAAGAACTGAGAACTCTGCTTAAAGGCTCTCCTCCACCTGGAATCCCTTCTCTGCTAGTCCAAAAGAGTGAAAAAACAATACCTTCCTTTGTTCCTAACACCAGTTCAAAACTCCCCATCCTGGGGCAACCTATCCTACTTGGCCTCACCTTAGACTCAGCCCTGGAGTGATCGGTTTTGCTGTCTCAATTTGCTCTGGTGACTAATATTGTGGACTTCACGCTGTGCACCAACCAGGCTGCAGTTGGGGAACACCCACATGAGACCTGAACCCCACTTCCTGCCTGGGAGGCAGTGTGGGGTTGTGGGAAGGTGCACTGGCCTGGGAGTTGGGCCTGGGCTCATCTCTCACTCAGCACCAGCTCCCTATGCAGCTTTGGGTGGCTCACTCAACCTCTCTGAGCTCCATTTCCACTGGAGGGGTCTTCATCTCCACCCTAAGGCCCATGGGGAGAGGATAGCACAGAGTAACCTGTGAAGAAGAGCTGCTGAAGCCCAATCATTTCCTGAGCACCTACTGTGCATCTGATGGGGAATTTACACTGCCCAAGGCATGGTCTGAGGCCTCAAGGGGCTTCCGAAATTCCAGAATAACCACAGAGGGGACTGTAATCAAGTGATGAAAGCACTCTGCAGCCATTAAGAAAACACAAGGCACATACTTGGTGCTTGTAAAGTGTTTAGAACAGTGACTGGCAAAGAGTGGGTGCTCAATAAATGTGTGCTATAGTGTTACTGTCATTAACATCATCATCTGTCTGTACAGTTACGGAGCAATTGTCAAGGCATAGTGTTAAGTGAGAAAACCTGACACAGAGCCATGTGTAGAGCATGCTACTGTTTATGTCAGAGAGGGAGGCAAGTATATATGATGCTCATATATGCTTGGATTTCCTGGGGAAAGAGACCCAAGAATGGGGCATGGTAGTTGCCTATGGAGAAGGTTCTATGTAGAGAAGAAGACATGTTCTGTGCCCTTTATACTTCTGAACTATTGGAAAATTTTCCATGTCTCTGCTTACAATGTTTCTGAAATTTTTTATGTTAGGAAAATAAAAACATGACAACGCTTGTAGCTGTTTCCTGAAAGGATTTTATTCAGACTCTTGGGAGTAGGATATGGGGACATGGCGCCTTCCACCCAGCCCACCCTTGTGGCCGTCTGGGTGAGAGCTGAGAGATCAGGGAGATGGGACCCTGGCCCCTTCTCTGACCTCCTCAGCCTTTGTGCCCTTGTACCTCCTCCTGGGCCCCACGCTTGTCCCTCCTCACTTCCACTCCCCACTGCACACGCACACACATACACCCCTTCTCAGGACCCAGAAGCTGTGGCCCATCAGAGGCCAGCGGGGGCTGCTCCTGTACAGCAGGGTGTGGTCTTGGGG